TATACCCTAGACCTCCAAACCACGGGTTTAACGGGGGCGTTCAAGTAAACCACGTAAGAAACCGAACCCACGTAAAAAACTAGGGTCTATGGTGATCGGAAGGATTTAGGATATCTCCATAAATCACACCTTGAATCCAAGCGAACTTTGCCTCGATCAAGACACGACAGGCAGCCCCAGCAGTGCCGCAGCAGCAGCCATCTACGACCCTCTGGAGAGGTGCGCTTCCCGGTCTTTTCAACTTCGCTTCCGAGCGCTTCTGTTCAGGGCTACGACTCTAGACCGGCGTTGCAGGGACAGCAACCGATACCGAGCGAATTTGGTAACAGAAGCTTCAAGTTTCTTCTTGTCGCAGGTCTGAGCCACTCCTAGGTTTTGCGGCATCGAGAATAGTGGATTTGCTGCTGGATATTGAGATGAACCATCGCACAAAACTTAAGCCTGGGAGCCTTTGAGCCACCGCATTGCGTCTTCTTCTCGAAAAGTGTGATGGTGACGTATGTTGAATCCTGGAAGGAAGAATCGAGGAGCAAGCATGTGGCGACCCCAAAGACAAATTGCAACACGCATAAGCCCATACCTCATCTTAACTTGAGCAAGGCACTGCGACGTTTGCAATCGCGAAGCTGGTGTGCAAAGGCCTGAAAAAAGGCAAAAAAACAAAACCCTGAGAGATGATAGTCTTCGTACTTAGGGATGCAGACAAGGTTCGTGCACCTTCGGCCGCACGTGCCAGTGAAGCTTTTCCATCCTTCCGAAACACACACATTATGGATCAACCGATAATTAATAAAAGTTGCAAGTAGTACCACGCTAGAATGTGCATTCGACCCCAGTCCTCATACTCAGTTTGCATAAGAGCACGTGGGAACGAAGATATTGCATTCCGTGTTCGTAGATCGAGTTCGCAGCTGCGCTTGTCCTCATTTCCCCAGTCAAACAAACTCCCAATCTGGAATTCTTGTTCCCCTTAACAACGTAGTACACATGCACTCTAGAATCCGAGCCGCAGGTACATTGGATTTGCTTCCACTTCGTGAAACCATCGGCAGAGCGATTGCCTTGGCGGGTTAGGGATCATTGGGTTTAGAACGATCTGCAATGAGAGGCAATTCAGGAGTATTAATGCGAGCACACCACAACTTTGGATCCAGGGAGCATTGCAAGGCAAATCAAAGGAAATCTTTCGTCAGCATCAGGTCTCTCATCAGGCCAGGGGTGCCCGTCTTCAACATGTTTCTTGCGTAGCCATTGGCCAATTTCACGAGAAGGCATCGTGGTGTGGCTTGCAGCCAGTTCTAAGCAGTTACCAAGCCACATAGCTATCACACGACCATTGTAGCCTTTGTGGGCCATGTGAGCACCGTGTTTCTCAGGCTTCCAAACCTCGGATTACAAGGAAACTGGCACACTTATGCCAAGCAGGGTCATTTTTCAATGTATGCATACGTGAAGCCGTCATGGATGCGACCCAAGGGACAAAGTTGGGAACAAATTTCGTTTGCGAGCAATTCAGTTTGTGGTGTTTTTGGAAGGTTTTGAAGTCCAGGAAAGCCGCCACGAGTAGCTGATGTAGTGAATTCACGTCTGGGTTGGGGTCCCCGAAGTAGCCATTCTCGATCAGAAACATCCTGGGCCAGGGATTTCGGTTTATACGTTCCCTAATATAAAACATAGGATAAATTTAATCTATGTGACTACATCTTTTAGTTAGGTCAAGCCCGAAAAGTTATTGTTGGTTGAGGTTCGTTTTTGAGGCTAGGACTGGAAAACAAAAGCCAAGATACAGGGTAGAGCCTGTGGCGTCCTGAGCCAAGCCAAGGTTGACATTGTGAAGACTGCAATGGCATAACATTGAGAAGTGGAACGATCGCAAGCCCAGTAGTGGACCTTTGTCTCTTGACTTCGTAATTTACATCTTAAGTACCATCGGGTCGAATCTAGATTGTAACTTAAATTCTGTTGGTTGCTGCTAGGACACAAACATGGTTATCCTGCATTCCATCGACGACAAACTGATTATGCGAAACTTCTGTTGCTTGCCAAGATGGATTCTCGCTGACATCGGTCATCGAGTGCGTGGCATTGGCGTGGTTCTCAGCACTACACCGCCAGCAGATAAAGCGAGTTTTGTAATAGTTTTTGAGTCGCCACGTCTGCCAATGATATTCCCAATCGCCCTTGATCTGAGTGACACAAAACCTGTGACTCAGCCGTGCCCCTTCCAATGAGAACCCGTCGAAGGCAGCATTGAGTGACTTCACAACAGCCAGATATAGCGGGTTGTGGCTTTTCCAGCCCAAACTACGCTCCCCGTCTAAATTCCAGAGCAGGAACTGACTCATCCTGGTTGATTTAGGCCGCCACAGCACCAGACTCATAAAGCAGCCTGTCACTTTGGATTGATCGAACCCCGTACCATACCGCGCAGTGTCTCCATAGATTGTTAATGGAACGTGGCTCCCGTCAAGGTCCAAATCTTGGCCCCACGGCATAAATTCTTTGCAATGGGTCCAATACTTTGCTAAAGCAGACTGCGGTATGCGAATGCCCACGGTATCAAAAAGATAGGCCAATATCCTGTCCGGGAGTAACACTGGCACTTTGACAGTGACCTCTGCCAGAGCGTCTTCTTTTTTTTTCAGTGTGGTCTCTATGAACACGGGTTCCTTTCCAGGGAATGATTTTTTGCTAGGTTCACCCGTCTATTAGGGTTTAGGTTTAGGGTTTAGGGTTTAGGGCTATTTAAATAAGATCCACAAACCCAAAACCTAGTTCGACTAGGACATCTCACGAGACTAATGATAGTAACACCCCGCACCACGGGAAGCTTCATGGTCCGCTCGAAATCCCGGGAATTGTTTTTGCCACTGAAGGACCCCAGCTTCCGAAGTCGTGGCGGCACGGCTCCAGATGAGTCCTGGGCTGATTTAATGTTGGCTTCGGGTTCTAGGGTTATTTCGGAGTAGGGTATCGATCAATTATTACCGGCACGGTGGCTCTTTGGTTTCAAGGCACTTGTACTGAAGCTCTGGCGCTTCTCATCGCTCGATCGATTGAAGTTGCCTTGGGGCTTAAAGGTTCCACAAAATTCTTCAGCATCCGACACCAACGAAAGAGTTTCAGTCATATGCTTGAGGGACGGCAGCAGCCACATTGTCGACCATATCATCTACCATCTCGGAGCTTCTCGGGACTGTAGTGGAGGGAATACCTGCGAGGATTGATGATACACTAAAGGTTCAGGCAACGAGCAAGCTGATATGCGAGTCACTTCCAGTAAAGCATGCGAAACCCATGGTGTCTTGAGATTCTTTTGACCTGGGCCCGCCATACACAGCAGTCTGCACATCTAATGTGCGCATGATGACGAGGAATTCCCCATCCTGGTCCATGCGACAAAGTACAAACTCTTCTAAATGGCAGGGTTCTATGATCTTCGTCCTGAATCTCATTGGGTCAAGCCAACGAAGTCTCTATGCAAAACTGCCAGCTTTCAGCAATCGCACAGCTTAGTGCATCATGCCTCCCACACAGAGTGCCACAGGAAGCCCCGACCAAGCCGACTAGATAATAAGAGCCCTCGCCTGGTAGGATCCACAACGATCGATACTGTGTGAGACTATCGGGTAATAAGGGTTATATTCGGGGTCCTGATCATGTAGCACTGTGTTCCGGATGCACTCCCTACTTGTTCTCGCCGGTAGCCTTGGCTTTCGGCTTCGGGTTCTTCGTAATCGACAATGAATTTGAGTCACGATCGATGACCTCCTGGGCGGCTGCAGTCTCGTTGATCATCTTCTCCTCCTGGGCATTAGATTGAATGGCTGGGGGTTGTAAGGAACTCCCTACTAGGGTGTGGTGTTTGTGTTTTGTGTTTCGACACTCCAAACTATTTATGACGTGGGGGAGTTAGGGGATATTGGGGGATACAATACTCGAAAACTTGCATCTTCCTACGTAGGGCTCCAGGGTTCACAGGGAGGCGTTGAAAACACATGCGTGTGAGCGGATCCTTGCCGCTGTCCACAGCAGCCTGCAAAGCTGACCGACTCGAGGTCATCTCCGCGATACGATCATTCAAGTCTTGCTCCATGGCCTTGCGCAGGTTCTTGCTCCTGGGTCGAATTACAATTGTCAGGAGTTGGACTTGGTATGTTGTGACGGAATTGCTAAGTCCAAAGCAAGCCAGCCGAATCAGCGAGCTTCGCTTTGTTCTCACGAATCTTCTTGCTCAGATTGTTCAGGGCCTCAGGTTGGGGGATTGGTGTGGTTGTGTACGTGTGCACACACGCGTGTGCTTCTGATGTTGGGCTGGCGTTTGAGGCAGCACGGGGCGATGATAGTGCATTCTGTGCATGTATCTGGTTGTGCTTCCGCGAAACGAAATACATTACTAGATCGAGATCGGAGAGAGGGAGAGGGAGAGAGAGAGAGCGAGTGATACTGAGTGAATCAAAGAGTGAGTGAGCACGTGTGTGTTTGCATGCACAAGCACAATTATAGAATTTCAGCCTTCTTGGCTGAGTTCTCGATCTTCCGCTTCTGCTCTTTTGCCTTCTTGTCCTCTTCAGACTCCTCGTTGTTCGTTTTTTTGTTTTTGTTCTTCTTGCCCTTCTTCTTCTTGCGCTTGGAGTCCTTGCCTCCGGCTTTGTCCTGGCAGCGACTGTGCGGCGTGTCAAGTATGCAAGCAGACATCTATATATTATAGTCGATTTATTTGCAGGTACACCCAGGTAACCCGCCCACCCGCATACACCCACACACGTGCACACACACACACA